GCCAGCGTTATAACCGCTAGACCACCGTGAATGTAATGTAATGTAAGGTAACGTTTCATAGGTAACAATAATGCCGAGTAAACAATTGACGTTCCCTAGGTAACCAGGTTACACTTTTTCGTTTCCCTTTTCGTAACACATTTTTGCCGAATGACACTGACCCTAAAATATAGACGTATTTACGTCAAAAGAGACATTGGAAGACGGAGTAGTAGTAGACAAGGCAATGCGAGTTCCAAATCTCGGAAGGAGTGTCAATTAGAAGAGCGCAGTCTTAATAGAGAAATTACAGAAATTTCGACGTCAACTGAGAATGGGGAGTAGCGAACACGATATCTGTGACACAGAAGGAGAATGGCAGAAAATGAACTCGAGGAGAGAAGGGAAAATAAAAGAAATGTCCTTCCGTTCCTTGAGAACACGTGAGACAATGAAAGGAAAAAAAAATACGAACGTAGGAAAATGTTAGGAAATTGATGTCAGAGCGCACAATGTAAATGACGAGGAATGAGAAGAGTCAGACGCAAAGTAGAGAATGAGATTAAACTTGACACCGGTCGTCGCTGTAGAAACTTCTGAACGAGGGGACAGACAGCAACGAATCGGCTCGCGTAACTCAAATGCGATATTTACTAAAACCAGCGTCGAAAACAAAGCTTCAATTTCATGAATGCAATAAAAAACAAATCTTGTACTACGAATTCCTTTTTTTAGGTTCGAAAATAACCTAATAATAGGCGAAGGGGAACAGAGACTTCTGGAACTGGACATGGACAAACTTAAGAAACTTATTTCTTCGCAAGCTGATAGTCGCTCAGGTAGCCGATAAACATTCCTTTTCTTTATGGAATACATAATTTCATTACCGCGTTCACAGGAACCGGCCACTGGGCCATTTCATAACGCAGATGAATCTAATCCACACAAAAAAATCCCATGTCTGCAAGATCTATTTTAATATTATCCATTTGTCCTCCCACTTTCGTCGATTTAATTGCCCTAACAATGTTCCGTAAACTTATGCAGCTCCTCAATACACCATTTTCTCCAGGGCCCCCTAAATTCAACGAAAAACGATCAAATTTTAAAACGTAGTTGTTTTATTATATCCATTTTAATAATATCCTCTCGCCTATGCATATATCTTCCACGTGGTCTGTTTCCACCAGTCTTCTCCTGTTTCCTAACTCTTGTCCTTACCCTGTGCTCTGTCCTTAGGGCACTAATTCTCTCTTCATTTATAAGCCGCTAATAATTAATACGAAGGATTTAAGAGGAATGAGATTTTGATCGTTTGGAAATGCAGACACTTTGTTCTGGTAACAGCTGAGACCGACAAAGGCGAGTGGTGAAGGGTGCTAGTTGAAATTGACCCTCAATAATCCGTAGCTGGGCAAAGTTTGCTTAAACTAAGGCTCTAATAGCCACTATTAATAAATCGTCACGTTGTTTGTCCTCATGAAACGGAACAACAGCTACATTTCTAATTAGAATTCATTTACAGTGAAAATTAATTGCCAGCAAACTTCATCAATGTCGGCAAACAGTTATAATTACATGGTAGCAAGAACTACAGTCACTCATCCTCAGGGCAGAAATACTGGAATTTGTTTGACTTTGCAAGAGTGAAACCGCTGCCAGCGGGACCACCTATGGGGCTGCAGTGGTGGACACCCCTCATCCTATTATCAGCAGTTAATCGCGTAAGATCTGGCCCGCCGAATTTCTCCTTTGTTTGAGTAAATCAAATTGAACCCTGAACCAGACCACGATCGTGTGTGTCTACCAGCCACCTCGCCAAACAAAATCTGAAATTTCTCATTAAGAACAATTTTACCTACATAGTTGATATAGTGTACTCAAATGAGTCACCAAAATAACATTATCATAGCGTTGTGCCTTATCACCATAATCATCAGTAAAAACGCAACCCTGAAGAAACTGGAGCACCTCTCCCCGGTACCAGGCCCTCCACATGACGTAGCAGGTGTCTGGATTTAATTAGGATCAATACTAGCACTCAGCGGGCTGCGTGATTACGCTCAATTAACAACAAAGTAGATTATTAGTCGTAATAACGGAACTTCATTTTCCACCCGCCGATCAAACAACTGTGGAGACAGTGATGCCAACTGCGAACATCACACATGAGCGGTAGATATTTCCCCGCCGATCTAACAGACGCCATGGAAAACGCAGTCATCCGATCTACAAATTACAAATAATTGTCTACCCACTGAACATATCTTTCGTAATTGGCGGAACCTTTAAATCTCCGTGCACTCTGGAGTATTGTGGACTTACTAAAATATTATTCCTTAACCCTTTGAGACTCGAAGTTCTTGTAAATAATATTTAAGAATTCAGTCCGTACCGCGAAGAAAACACTACACTTCACCATTACGAAGATCAACTGGTTAACGCTGTTTAAGGAAATAATCGCTGTTTACATTGAGAATCATACGAAACACATAAATACACTACGTAGGAATCTGAATAATATTTAAAGATTCAGTCCGTACCGCGAAGAAAACACTACACTTCACCATTACAAAGATCAACTTTTTAACGCTGTTTAAGGAAATAATCGCTGTTTATTTTGAGAATCATACAAAATACATAAATACACAATACAGAGTCACTGACTGTTAAAGCAGGTGGTATATATAGTTACCACTGGCTCTAAAGTGTTAACGTAAAGTTTTTGATAACGAAAGCAAGGAACTTGAGTAAAGAAGCATGTCGTATGTACGGGAGACATAAGCAATGCACGTAAAATTGTTGTCGGAAAACTGAAATGTAACGGAAGACTTTGGGTGCAAGGGTGCAGATGGCTCAGGACATGGTCCAGTAACGTATTCCATTAAAGATGAGTTTTCCTCTGAGATGCTGGGCAAATATTGGCTTCTGAAATAAGAGTTTGTTCAATACGCAGCGCCTAGATTTATGCAAAACGCTGAGCGTAAATTCCTTCTTTGTTACCAGCGCGTCTCTGCTGTGAATTTATACGTCGAATTACGTGCGACGTCGAAGCATGTGATGCCGGGACATCGGTTCATGGGGATTCTGCTCTCTGCGGGGATTAAGCAAGAGAGGATTTTCAGTTTAAAAAAAAAATGCGACGGACGAGAATAACAGCGTTCAGAATTTAAAATCGCGATTATTCCTTCCAGGATCTAGCGCGAACGGAAATGTCCAACCATGCAAACTGTGTATTAAAGAGCATTAATTATAAAGACAATGATCATGTTCATCGTACATAGAAATACTGACAGGGGTCGCTTTAAAGATATTCTTAATGCAACTGGTAAATGGATCCAGCCGGAGAAGGAAAACAACTCATTCAGTATTCAAAAAGGAATTTTAAATGATGAATAATGATGCGAACACAGAATTAGACAGAGGATTAAATATTCCTACGAGGAATTCAATTCAGAAACGGAATCGTAGATTACGTGATCAAGAAAGATACCAACTTAACACCGTCAGTAATATGACATGACGTAATTTCTCTCTCCAAGTTATGAATTTTAAAGATGCGAATCAGATTTCAATAAAAAAATCTCTGTAAACGTCTTATCCGTCAGGGATCCAATTAAATTTCTTTTCTACTTCTGACATAACCCCTCACGTGTCTTCGTGAAACATATTTCTTCTTGAGACTCTCATAGTCGCTAAGCTGGTGAAAAAATTCCACGACTTCTGTCGTATCAGAATTTTATTACTATTTTAAGAGGTCGCCAATGATTTTTGACTTGAGCTAGTTAAGACCAGTCAACCGTCTTAAATTAAATTTCTAATATATATTATAATTAGAATTCTTCCATCCACTCCTAGGTCTTTCAAGTGGTGTTTTCCCTTCAGAGGATGGAAGAACTGAGGAAACAGACGAAATTTATATCATATATAAAAATAAAGATGAACAGGATATGATGTTCTTAAAGTTTTAGAGATGTCTCTGAGTCATTAACGTGGCCGTTTCAGATTTGTTCAATTTACGAGTCAGATAATATGACGCCAACTATAAATGTCAACCGGCAGGAGTCCGCGGACCACAGTTTGTAAAACACTAACTATAGGCAAAAAAATCAACTAAAACACAAGATTTTAGGTTTTCACAACGGTGATTTTTATCCTGAAAATGGAAGCAGTATGCTTCTCCGAAACGCTGGTAACCATCAATGAACCACACGGCGTCTTAACCCAGGAGATCACAATCCAAGCGTAGAACTACGCTTTTCGTCTAGTATCTTTACACTAAGAGCAAAAACTCTCTGAATTAAATGATGATGAAAATTTGTGGAATTTAAACTGCATGTATGAAATAATAACTTGTTTATATAAGTTCTAGGAATTTCAGAATGCTGAGCCATATTCTGTACTAACATTGAAGCATGTACAGACGACCTTAAAAAGTATTTCTTCCCCTGTGTCGTCGGTGCGAAGTGTACACAGGATCATCGCTTCTGAAGATCTGTGCAAGTTTCCTTTCGGAACACTTGTAATTCGATTTAATCATCAGGCAGGTTTATAACTAAGTGACGTAAGTGTTCTGACAGAAAAGTCGCCTTCAAAACTCTCAAGTAGGGACGAGAGAGAAACTTTAATGGAAACAGCCACACGAATCCAATTCAAAAAAAAAAAAAAAAAAAATTAGCTTCAGAATTTGTCGGAGTCTCGTATTTTCTCTTTCCTTTCGTTTCTATTATCTTGGAGTTTATTTTAAAACATTTCTAAGTACGAGATCGGACGGTGGTATTGACGTCAGCAAATCGCGTTGCCGAAAGCCGTTTTCTCATATCCGATTCAAGACGGTGAGGTCGGATGTTGTATCAACTAAAATAACGAGACTGGCCTTGGGTCATGGGAGGATGGCTCTGAGGTCGACAGGCCTGTAATAAAAGGTCCACTGAGGTTCATGCAGGTCCGTTGTCATGGCAGAAACCACAAATCAGTAATCAAATATCATTAAGGTGATATTGATAGGACATGTATCACGCATGACCGACAATACAAATGCGTACAAAGATTTAGCTGAGAATTCTAATGAACTATACCACTTATCTGAGGATGAACATTGGATTAATCTGGCAGAGATTACAATCCAGTTAAGGGCCTGCCGCCGCTCCGAGTTCCCGTGCGAAAATGGCCGATGCGTGCCTCTTAACCGCCTCTGCGACGCTGCGGACGACTGTGGGGACTCCTCCGACGAGCCCCGGTTCTGCACACGTAAGTGCCACTGACATTGCTCATTAATGACATGATATACTTAAGAGTATGTAACTGACTGCACTCTTTTCTTAACAGCAACCATCCCTCGCGGTTAGCTTATATAACACTTGAGCTGAAATTTGTGTTGTTTTGTGTTACATTACGAAACACAAACCCGAAAATAAAACAATAATTACCAAAACGAAGTCAGTGAGACGATTACATGATTCTGCACGAAACGTGTACACTTGATGGTGTTTTTTCTCCCAAAAATTTAATACAGGTCCACATGTAATTTAATCAAACAGTACGTGAAGGTGTGTGGGCTGGATTAAGCTGGCACCGGATGCAGACCGCACGAGACTATTGTAAGACAGTATTGTAAACATTGGTTTCTACAAAAGACAGAAGAAAATCTATTCACCAGCTGAGAAACTATCAGCTCCTCCGAGTTTCCGTCGTTTCATCCGAACAATCTGCGTTGCCTTGTTTTTCAGAAGGTTCATTCAATTAAAAATTGCCGAGTTGTTCAAGCCAATTACGTCTGAAGAATCAGACTCCTCTTCTGCTCTCGATTTTCTATTTGTCTTCCCAGAAGAACACAATGAGAATGTTAATGTTAAACGACTCGCCTGGACAAGCGAGATGCAGGCAGGCAGGCAGGAGAGGTTCTTCAACGGCGCACTCGGTGTTTCTGAGATAAAGAATCCGATACCAGCGGAGAACGAGGTGGGCTCCAGACAAAAGCACCCAGCATCCCGCAGGCTGGGCTCATCAACTACCATTTTGTTTGACACAACGCACTAGTTTACAAGACAACAACATGAAAGTGGGGAAAATAGAATTCGAAGAGACGGCGGGCAGCGAACGCCCGAGAGAAATTATACGGCGGTCCTGACACTACAGAAACACAGGAGCATACCAAAATAAAGCAGCTTATAAGCGTCACAAACACGGATATGACTGATTTTCACACTCATTAAAACAACAGAATTCAGACTGAGGTGTTCTGAGTTGCGAAATTTCTTTGCCTTGGTTACCAGCGTTCCGGAAGAACATGCTGTCCGTATCACATTCACCCTGAAGATGGAAGCAGTAGGTGCATCCGAAACGTTTATATCTACCTACAACTGCACACGGCGTTACAACCACATCTCCATGAGAACCGCTTGGGCGTAGTGTCAGTTTTATCCGGGATGCGAGACGACCAGGGACTGATTCCGGTCCCCTGATGATTACGACGTGCCACAGTTCATTATATTGAGTAGCCCTGCTCGCAGGTTTTTCAATATCCCGGCGTGTAGCGCTCGGAGCACTGTGTCCGCCCTCTCGTGCCGGAACAGTGTTCAGTGTTCAATGGAATGGAGCCATCCATCTTATTCTGTCGATACGGCGAGATACGGCTCAGCCCGTCCACTCGCCTGACTGATAGAGAATAATTTTACTTCTGAATTGTGAAGAAAATGGCTCTGACGTACCAGCTTAAACCTCAGCTATCAGCAATAACATAAGTGTCGTATGCAAACACTGGCTCGCTTTCAGACATACGTAAATTATTCAGAAGAAAATGTTTGACCGATTTGGATGAAGTACTATCGGGTTTCTACTTATTTACTTCGTGAAACTATTAAAATGGTCTTCACAGACGTTCGCGTGATCAGAGCCATTGAAAGGTAAAATACTTCAGGCCTGTCTGTGGACTTCGTCAAAATTCGCCGACATCATCAGGATAATACTTCAGGCCTGTCTGTGGACTTCGTTATATCTTCACTGTACATGTTGGCTCAAAATTCGCCGACATCATCAGGATTTAATATGACGATCCTTTAAAGATATCTTTATAGGTTATTAAATTAATTCATTTCCTCAATCTTCTTGAATTATTTTGATAATATTCCCATGTCATTCACTTCCCTTGATTACCATAAATTCCTCATTATTTACCAATGGGTCCCACATGAACTGAGGTCTCCCAAGCGGTCTCCTTCCTCCAAACTTTTCGATTTAAAAGTTTACGTGATCAATCATCTAAATTGCTCTAGTCATATGCAGTATCGACAGTCTATTTGTAATTAAAGGCGATCTGACGTAATTCCCCACATTCGTCCCTTAATCTGTTGAGGGCGAAAAGAGACCTTTTGTTCTTATGATTTAATTACGCGGGTCATGTCATGAGGCAACAACAATGTTCGAGAAAATATTTTCTGAAGCCTGAAGGGAAAAATGGGTAGAAAGCCTATCTGTTGGACCCCCTGGGTCTGGGCTGGCCTCAGAACTGGATCGAGTCTGTAATTTATAACATCAGCGTTGATGGACATCAAAGCCTGAAGTGAGATTCAATTTCGTGGTACATTGAGCCATGTTCTCATGTTATATTCCTGCCCGCTTCATACCGACCCCATTGCTCCAATTGGGCCAATAAACGGTTCCATTTCAACCCTTTAATTCCAGTGGATAACAGGACGTATCTACGGCTTTAACATTCAGTAACTTTGCGTTATGTATATATGGGCGTCACTGTAAATC